GATTCACACTTTTGTTTTGCAGACTACGACACACTGTCTTTCCCAGCAGCGAAACCTGCAGAAGCCGGGCGGCCTTGTTCCTTCGGGCGTAATAATTCTGTTCCTGAATGACCAGCGCGAAGAAGACGGGCGGCAGGGCCGTTACTTGTGCCAGCGCCTCGGCGGCGAGCGCAACACAAAGCCCGCGCCAAAGCGCGGCAACAGCCCGCGCCAGAGCGCAACAGCTAGCCGGCATAGGCTTCGCGCGCGCGCCCGATAATCTTTGGGGCAACGCCCCGGCGCGAAGGGCGGGGCCGGTGTGCACCTGGCCGGCCCCAGTCCGCGGGCGCGCCGAGAAGGGGCGCGCGGCGGCCCCAGGAGGCACGCAACACAGGGCGGGCGGGCCTCCCGTGCAGGGAAAAGTGGCGCCCACCGGTGGCGGCGCCGATCGCTCGGGAGAGGCTTCAGCATTTGCGCGGCGTCTTGTACTTCTTCTCTTGCGCCGTTATTTGCGCGTCGTACTGCCCTATGGATTGCAAATACATCTGGACGATCTGGTAGGTCTTGTTTGTCATGCGAGCTCTGGACGACAAGGACGAAACCTGTACTGCATGAGCAACAAAAGAGATCCACCGACGCATCGCGAGGTGCGCCGGTGGAAGCTTGTGACGCTGTGGCCCGCACTTGAAATCTTCGCTTCTGGGCCATACAAAAACTGAACGACAAGGCGCAGCAAGACAAAGAAATCCAGAGCCAGAGTTTTTTTTCTGTTGATATCAGCTATCTTCCCAGCGACGTGTTTCGACGCCGCTGTCATCCGCGCTTCGTCTTTATCCTCAGTAAAAACGCCCGTTCCCATCAAGGTGTCACGCAGATCTGCATCTACGGAATAGTGTAAGAGCTTGTGATACGCAAACCCGGAAAAGGCATTTCTACTGATCTTGATGCTATAAAGAAGAGATCTAGCAGCCTCTTCATGCGTCTGAGAGAAACTTGTGATGCATTCTTCCCAAAAGTTCTGCATTTGTGTTGCCAACTTCTCAACCTGCTGATTACCCCGGGGGAAGAACGTTGTTACACAGGATAACCCTTGGCGTGCTGCGCCTTCTGCAGCTTATACGCCGTGACGCCCTTCTGCGCCTCGGACATATGCGGGCTGAGGCCTCTTTCAATACCTCGCAGGCCCCGCTCGTATTGCACCATCTCGGCGGCACGCATTCAGCGGAAAAGGAAACTCCACTGAAAAAGAGCTATGAATTTGCGATACGGGTGTCTGCATGATGATAGAAATAGAAAAGCATCCCCATTGCCCTTCAACACTCTCACTCACTCCAGAAGCGCCCATTAAACTCTCACCCGTAGGTGTGCCTGTAAGTGAGACTTGTATGACCTCGCCACAACAGAAATCCCTGTCCTCTCGTGCTCGTCGTTACCCTCACAACATTCAGCAGAAACGGGCTCAATTAATGTATCTCCGCCAAGCAGGTCGCTCTTGCAATGGCGAACAAGCTGCAGTGACCTATAGTTTTACTAGACTACTACGCCGGCGTCCAGGACGCCGGCGATAGGTCGTCTAGTAAGTCTAAAATTAAAAAACTATCACGAAACGCTACCGGAACAAATTTGGCGACAGAGTCGCCCTTGTGGGAATCTGCTAGTGGAGACGCGGCCACTAGCAGGAACCCTCTAGGCGGTTTTAGCATGACAAAACGGGCCCGCGCTTGCTAGTGACGCCGTTCACTAGTAGCGGCCCGCATTAGAAGCGGACGCGCCCGCCTTCGTTCCCTGCGCTTCTGCCCCGTCCCAGCCCGGCCGCTGGCCTTGGCCTGCTTCCCGTTTCTTGGGCTGTCTGACTTCTACAAAGGACCACCCGCAGGCCGCCCAGCGAAGCTCTCGAAGCGAGGCCTCTAGAAGGCAAAGAATTTCCTTTAGCCACTCCCGCTACTCCTCCTGTAGCCTCCCCCAGATATCTCCCCAGATATCTCCCCAGATACCTCCCCAGATAAATATGTCCCCAGGTATATCCCCAGATATATCCCCAGACATGTCCCCAGATATGTCCCCAGATATATCCCCAGATATATCCCCATGCTTCCGATCGATCCATCGGATGGCGGTCGGTGGGGCGGCGGGCTCGCTCGCTCTGCCGGGGCGGGAGCGCTCTTGCACCGCCCCCCCCTACCCCCCAAAGACGCAGGTGCCGGAGGGTAGCCAGAATAGGGCTGCTAAACACCGGCCCGGCGGCTTTGTTGCGGCTCCTCCAGCCGGCGGTGTTTGCGCGCTAGCCTGCCAAAGGCTCGGGAGTCTTTGGTCTGCGATGCAGGTTGCACCCCCAAGCGCAGATTGCAAGAGCTGGAAGCGGAGGCTGCAAGGGTTTGCAACGCCTTTTCCGGTTGCGTTGCAGATCGCAGCTTGAAGATCAAGCTGTCGCGTGCGGCGCAGGTTGCAGCCTGCGGCCCGGGCTGCCGCTTGCATCGTTGCCAGCTCTCGGTCGCCCACGTTGTAGACGGCCACTGGCGTCGCAACTTGTAGTCTGTCCCAGCTTGCGCGTCGGCCCGTGTTGCAGGTAGCCGCCACCTGCATCAATAGCGCCAGCGTGCACCGACCGCAAAATGTTGCAGGCCGAATTGCAAGAAAGGCACAGCTTGCAGCACTTACAGCGCGGAAATCGCAGCGCAGGCGTCAGCCTGCTTTGCAAGCTGCAGCCTTTAGCGCAAGTTGCCGCCTGCGTCGCGACTTGCAGCTGCCCGCATTGCAAAAAAGCGCCCGGCTGTTAGCAGTGCTACAAAGTAACGAAGCCGCACTTGTAACATGCCCAGGGGCCACCCGCGGGGAGGACGCTCGCACATACAGAGCTTTTGGTCCCCACGATGCCGCTCTTTTTCTTACAGGCGTTCGCTTAGAAGCTTCCTCCAGGAGCTCTCTTAGGGGAAGCTTCTAGAGGAAGCTTCTAGAAAGTGATCTCCCTACTAATCATTTTTTAAGAGCGCCCCTATAATCTATAAGGCCAAAAATTCCGAGCAAAAAAGAATGGGCGGCGGCGGCCCTGGGCGGCAATCACACAACAGAGCGCGGGCCGGCCTGTTCCGATCCCACGAAAAAGCGGCGCCCACCGGTGGCGGCGCCAGTGGCTGGGGCGTCAACATTTGGCGCGCAGCTCGTGCAAAAAGGCCGAGCATTTCGCCGATTACCGCCCGCGGCGCAGTTAATCGGCGCGGTTGCATTGTCGGCGAACGTGAGGCAGTCCTTCAGATTCGGCGCGCCCTGCAGCAGGGGCGGCACTGGATCCTTCCACGCATGGGAGAGGGAGAGGGAGCAGCAGAGCTGCTAGAAGGAGATGACCCATCACCAGGTGTGGTGCTCGCGCCGTTTGGCGAAGGCAAGCTCGTTTCTCCAAGTTCGATTTGGGTGGCGGCTTCTACATGCCTATTCCGCATGAGAGATTGGCTTTTCGTTTTATTCTCTCGGCAAGAACAATATTAGGGAAACATTCACGGCAGTCGTTCATGCAACACAGACTTCATCTGTACGATCCAAGTTTTGCATGACAAGTTGCGATGTTCCAGACCTCCCAGACATCACTCTTACAGTGGATATGACCTTGGTCGTCCTCGCCATTTCCGCCCGGGCGCCGCGGCGGACCGCCGCCACCGCTACTCGCGGCCCCGGGGAGAAACATATCAACACTACTTCCGCCCGCAGAATTTTCTCCCCCAACAAGCGGCGGGAACGGTTCGAGGATTGTCCCCGGAGGCGCGCCCTGCAGCAGGGGCGGCACTGGATCCACGCATGCCGGACCGGCCCCACCATCGAAGCGCCCTGTGTGCCCGAGGGGAAGACGGAGCAGGGCAATAAACGGGGCGCGAGCTGCCTCCAACGGATGGAGGCTTCGCGCAGACAGAGCTACAGAGAGTGGTCAATCACACGCCTAAGCGGCCAAGCGCTTTCTTCTCGTCGCTCCACGCCTTGCTCCAACACTCTGTCCCCTCAGAGGCTCTTTGCCCTCACTTGGTTTTGATTTCTACGTACGTGTGGAGCTGTACTTCTAGACTGGGCTTCGCTCCGTGTACTCAGCTTGTTCTCGGATGTTCAGGGTTACAGCTTCGCCAGAACACGGAAGCGAAGAACTTGGTCGCAGAGAAGTGAATTGTTGCCTGCTACAATTTCAAAGTGAAGCGCAAAAACTGCGCTTGCCTCTACATTTTCTTCTTCTCGTTTTGCACGAGAGTGTTGAAACGATAATTACTACGTCCTTCAGAATGTATTCTCCATGTTTTTCTTTCTTGAACTACCCCGTATGAATTATCCACTAGTGAATGCTGTTTGCCAGCTCGCGAAAGTGCAAGAAGTATGCTTCGAATAGGAATTCGTCTCTTCGTTTTGCCCGAAGGTTGGTACAACATAACTTTATCCGTCCGTCAGAGCGTATCTTTGTGATTCTCCATGTACTGATTTGTTGTTTTCTTCGTACAGTCTATTGTCTATTTTCCATGAAATGCTGTTGCTGTTCCCCAGAATAAAAACCGACAGGAGGTGCTATTAGAATGTGAATTTCCCAATTGCTGCTACGTTTCTAAATGACAGCTTTCCTTGGCTTCTTGTTGCGCTCTTTTCGAGCGTGAACATGGATAATTTAATTTTCCAATCATGTATAGAAGTTTCATTTTCCAACTATACTTTCTTGCACGCAAGGTCAAGCATGCTGCATCTGAGATCTTCAGAGAAATCTAAAGTAAATAAAACATCATATATAGAGCCGTGTACGCCCTTACGATACTTTTGCAAACAAGCACTGAATCTATCTTCCACGCTAGCGAGAAATAAAAAGGTCGTTGGTGAAACTTTTTATTTTGTGACTATGATACGTAAACAAAAATAGTCGGACTGCGCATCACAGGTACTCGACGGGCGTAAACGCATTCCGTAGGATCACTACGGCTACATCAGGCTTTGGTAAGCAGTTCCACCAAATTCTAAGTAATGCCTCCCGCCTTACGGCACAAGGTATTATAATTGGGCTGTGTTGGCGATTTGCGTTTATCTTCACTCTTCAGGCTCCGGCTCGGGAAAACGACAAGGGTTTTCCGCAGGAGCATCATTATCGAAAGCGTTGGCACCATTGTTCCCATTGCCATTGTCAACAGGACCATCTTCTCCCTGTTGGCCGGCCCCAGGACCGCCGACGGCAGGAGAAGGTTGTCCTGTTGTACTACTTACCTGTTCACCCGCATCACCTCCGAGTTCGGGAGCGGAATCTTGCGCAGCACCATTGGTGGCCCCAGCACCTCCTGCACCAGTCGCGTCTGCGTGGTCTGCAGCAGCCACTGGTGACTGTATCCCGGGGGCGGGTGATTGTGCCGCACTGCTGCTGCTCCCAACCCCGCTACTACAATTACCAGCACTCGTGGCGAGGGAGGGCTCCGCGTCTGGCTCGTGCAGAAAGGTGACCTCGTATGCTGTGCAAAAGCAGTGGGGTACTTGCGCTCATTGCAATCCTGCATTTGACAAACGTGATGTCCTATCTGAACCTGCCTGGCAAATACTCTTTTTGATATTTTTGCAAATGCAATTCATTTTTAATTCTATACTAGGTGTAAGTGCGATTACTTGCTTTTGCACTGAATACAAAACCGTTTTCGACCCAGTAGGGCGGCACAACTCCGTTGCCTCCGTGGTTTACGACAAAACGACGGTTTATGATTTCATAGTCTCCCATCCTGGTCCGACAATTCTCGAAAACCACCAGTTCAGGATTGGCTTCGTTCGCGATTGGCTTCGTGTGCAATGCAAAACGATCATCGTACTTTGGTAGCAATCGCATAAGAAATAGAAATAGAAATTATTTTAGCAACGTAGGAAATGGCACTTGTCAGGCACACACAAGTTGTAATAATGCACGACAATGTTGTCATGCATGCATGTTTCCATTTCGTTACCGAAGTACGATGCGTTTGCCAAAGATAATTTGGCGTCGATGATGAAGTAGATGAGGAACTGCTGCTAGCTGGTCCTGCTTGTATGCATTGCACATATGATGTTATCTGGGGCTGGAAGAATGCACGGTTTGTCATGCAGCTCGTGGAATACACAAATGGTCTGGAACTTCGGCGCGCCTAGAAGCATCACAAATTGTGCAAGGGCTTCTCAATTATGTATATTCCGAATAAGAAATTCGCCCTTTCTTGTGTGGCATGGCGTGGGTAGGATTTGCCGTTCACTTACGCAACACAGATTTTTATTTTGCACGAGGTAGCTTTCGCATGACGAGTTTTCATCCTCGCAGGCCCAGAAACATTTGTGTTCAATAGCTTGGTGTTGTCCACCTCCACTATTCGGCGCGAGGAATCCTGCAGGACCGGGCTTCGACTGCGGGAACATCAAAATATTCTGTATCCTCAGTAAAATGAACGTTGACGTTCCCACCCCACCAGAGTTGCGATGCCGATTTGCATGCCCAGTATGTTTCTCATGCGCAGCCACACCCACATGAGATAGGAAGCTCGGTAGTTGATGCGTTGTTTAGGATTTCTATCTCATGCTCAAACCAGCATGAGCCAGCGGCTTCTTGATGTTGATGCGTCTGCGCAAAATACAAGACACGACTCATGCATAAATATCACCAGGAGCGGCCCCGCGAGTTCTTGTCTCGCAGATTTACCATCTCGACTATGGGGCATGGGCCTCGTTTTTACTCAGGATATTCGGAGTATCCTCAACGCCAACGCTGGCTCCATGGTTGTCTGGCAGCGGCTTGGCTCCCGACTGGTCATGAAATACGCTCGAAGAAATCAGAGTCCTGCTGGAAGACTGGTTGTAGTTCCTGCGGACGACACGCCGATTCTCGTCCAGGCGCTCGAGCACTTCAGGTGGCTGATTCCGTCGAAAGTCCTCTCCAGGCTCCGGGATTGCAGCCTCCTGCGTCCCTGACGCGAGGGGAGAAGAAGAGCTGCTAGATCCACCAGCAGTGCTACCGGTCTGCGCCGGATTATTTGCACCCAAAAAGCCCTCCGGAACCCCATCCCTGCTGCAGGACTGGTTGTAGTTCGCGTGAACTTCAAGCTGATTCTCGTCCCGGCGCTCTTGCTCTTCAGCTGTCAGACTCTGCTCAAAGTCTTCTCCAGGCTCACGGACTGCAGCCTCTTGCGTCCCTGACGCGATGGGAGAGGGAGCAGCAGAGCTGCTAGAAGGAGATGACCCATCACCAGGCGTGGTGCTCGCGCCGTTTGGCGAAGGCAAGCTCGTTTCTTCAAGTTCGATTTGGGCGGCGGCTTCTACATGCGCCGCAGCCACCAAGTCCGGACTAGTCACGCCACTGCTACTTGGGGTAGGGGTGAAGCCGGGACCCCCATCGTCCCCAGCACCTCCTCCTCCTCCCTCGTTTTGCGCTGCCATGACCAGCGACTCCTGCGGCAAGGAGAAGGACGGATTCAAGAACCCCAGTGAGCCTGACATCTCCGCATCAGCCTTCGCCGCAGGAAGTTCCGGCGGGCTAATGGTTGTAGGCTGATGAAGTAGAGCCGTGTCTGTGTCATGTTGTTCCGCGTGGGCGCCGGGGAAAACGGGTTCCGGCAGTGCTGGTTGCTGGTCTGCATTGCCGAACGGGGCCATGCTGGCGGCGGCCTTTGCCTCCGGGGTTGGGGCCTCTGCGTGATTTACTTCCGCTACCGATCTAAGATCGTCACTCGCAAAAGCCAGGGGGCGTCTGGGCTGCCGCGGCGGTGCAATCGGTGGGGGCGAGGGCGGCCTCACGGGGGCGGGAAAGAGGTCGGGCGCCTCATCGCCCGACATTCTCTCAGCGTCACTAGGCGGTCCTCTGCATTGCTCCGCCGCGCTGTCGCGCCGTTCCAAGATGGGAGACCTGGATCGCGAACTCGCCCTGCTGTTTATTGAGAGGAAAAATCCCCCCTCCCCATATCGAACAGGTATGTTTCCGAAAATTTGTGTTGCTGATTTGAGCCTTAGTTCCCCATGATATCCGTAGGCCAGACGTCGGGGGTCCCTCACCCGACACGCCGAACTTCCTCCTTCCACACGCAGCGTCGGAGGGGTCGCGCGTAGCCCTGGAGGTGATAAACGAGGGTGGCGCCTGTATATGCAGTAAAATACTGCACAGGAAATGAGGAAGTCAGAAAGGAACACAAATGTTCTGGGATGACTGTTTAGGAACATCCCAACAACCTCCGCCAACCACTGCCCTCGAATACACAAGAGAAAGCCGAAGCTAACTCAACTCCGGATACCCTTCCCGAAGCTGACCTGAACCGCCTTTCTCCACAGGTCAGCGACGAGGCAATGCCCTGAGGGGACCGTTAGGAACCTCCCCAAACAATCGTCATGTCGTTTCGCCGAAGCGAAACAGTCTGACGAAAGAGACGCACTACCAGTACCCAGCGGCAAGTACACGGTAGGCATGGGCATAGGAGAACCGAACCGCACGACCACTCGACCGAGGTAACCCAGGTTTGAGGTCACAAATCACGTCTGTCTTGCAAGAAGACAAGGGCAGAAGCTTCCGCCCCATTAGAGAAGCGATTTGTCATGCTGTTGGGCCTAAAGGTCGGCCGTTTGTCATGCCGGGCAACTAAGTAGGCCCATGCGCCCCTACCTAGCCTGGGGATCTGGCCGCAATGCCTCTCTGCAATACAAAGCTGATTCGTGTACACCAATCCAGCATCAGAAATTCCGTTTTGATATGGGGAGGGGGGATTTTTCCTTACAATACTGTTGTCATGTTGCCGCGCTAGGCCACGACCCCGGACGACACCACCAACCGACGTAGACGTCGAGCTGCTGCCAGCCTGGGGCGACGAGGCAGAGGACGAAGCTGCCGCAGGAAGGTTTTTCGGCAGCGGCAGGAACACTCCACTCGATGCACCTTCCAAAACCGACGATGGCGACAGCACAGTGTTCGCGGACAATTGTTGAGACGCGCCACCAGGTGTGCTGCTCGCACCAGAAGCTGCCGGCGCGGAAGAGGAAGAAGACCCGCTGCTCGGTCCCGCTTGTTGGTCATGCAGCCCTTGTCCCCCGATGTGCGTATTGCTGTAAGTTGTAGGTGCACAGCCTTCTTGATCACCCCGTGGGGAGAATAAATTGCGGGAAGGCGACGTAGAGGCATGGTTGTCGTGTTGACCGCCGCTGCTCCAGGTGCCGCTGCCTTCGGAGTTTACCGTTTCCCGTCCAGCTGTGGATGTCCGCGAGATCGATGACAAATCAGGCGACTGGTCGATGTCCATTTGACGAAGCCCGCCTGCGCTTGCACCTCCCCCGCCGTTGTGACTCATCATCTGCAGTGGTCCTGGAGGAGAACTAAATGCAGCTGAAGAAGAGGAGGATGAACTTGCGCTGCCAGAGGATGAGGATGAGGATGAACTTCCGGGGGCCCCACCTTTTGGTGAAGGAAGTAGTTGGACCCCGGCGGGGATTATCGTCGCGTTCCGCCGCGGCGGAATGTCGAAAGACGGCGTGTTGTTCTCGAGGGCGTTCATGGAGTGCTCGGTGCTGACGTGCGACGAGGCGTCCCCACCGGGGGAAGATGATCCGTCGCTAGCCTGCCCCCCCTCGTCCTCTTCAGTCTCATCTTCTTCCGCTACGGTTTGCAGCTGCGCCTGTGCTGTCCCCGCCCCGGAGTTGTTGTTGGGTCCGTCACCCGGATGTTCACATATGCACGTGCAAAAATGTGGTGTGGGTCTGGAAGTAGAGTACAAGGTGTGTCATGCATCAGCATCTCCTAGATGTCGAACACGAAGATAGCCCGCCTCGGGAATGCACCCAGAAGCATCTTCACATCAGAGGACTGTGCAAGAGATTCTGAATGCGTATTCCGCATGACAGATTCGCTTTTCGTTTTCGCTCGTCAACCACAATTAGGGAAACACTCATTGCAGCCGCTCATGCAACACAGATTTCTGTGCGGTCCAAATTTTGCATGACAAGTTCCAATGTTCCAGACCCAGACATCACATTTACAGTGGATATGATCTTTGTCCTCGCCATTTCCGCCCGGGCGCCGCGGCGGACCGCCGCCACCGCTACTCGCGGCCCCGGGGAGAAACGTATCAACACTACTTCCGCCCGCAG